TTGAAGAGATCTTTCCGAATAAATTAGAAAAGAGTGACAATAGTCATGAAGATGGGTCAAATAGGAAAAATAAAAGACCTCGAGATATTAAGGGTCTCAAAATAGAGGAGCCTAGACGTAGTAAACGACAAAGGACTTCTACGTCATTTGGTCCAGATTTTCTAACTTTCATGTTAGAAGATGAGCCTAAAACTTTTAAAGAGGTCATGTCGTCTCCAGAATCCTTTCATTGGAAAGAAGCTATCAATAGTGAAATTGAATCCATAACACACAATATTACTTAGGAATTAACAAATTTGCCATCTGGTGTTAAGCCCTTGAGTTGTAAATGGATTTTTACGAAAAAGAGAAAAGTTGATGGATCTATTGACAAATACAAGGCAAGACTGGTTGTAATAACCAACGAGAGGGACTTGATTATTTGATACCTATTCCCCAATTACCCGTATAACATCCATTATAATGTTAATTGCTTTTGCAGCATCAAATGACCTTGAAATACATCAAATGGATGTTAAAACTGCATTTTTGAATGGGGATCTAGAAGAAGAGATTTATATACAACAACCGAAAGGGTTTGTTGTTCTTGAACAAGAAAATAAAGTTTGTCGTTTTGTTAGATCTCTTTATGGTTTAAAGCAAGCACCGAAACAATGGCATAAAAAGTTTGATGATGTAATGTTGTTAAATGGGTTTAAAATCAATGAGTGTGATAAATGTGTCTATATTAAGACTACTCATAATGGATATGTTATTGTGTGCTTGTATGTTAATGACATGCTTATAATAGGTAGTGATATTAATCATATTAATGTCACTAACCGCATGTTGAATAATAGATTTGAAATGATAGATATGGGCGTTGCAGACGTAATTTTAGGGATTAAAATTCATAGGACATCTGATGGTTTAGCTCTTTCTCAATCCCATTACATTGAGAAAGTTTTGAGCAAGTTTAAGGGTTTAGGCATAAATCCTATGAGGACACCCATAGATATTAATTTACACATTGCCAAGAACAATGGCCAAAGTGTATCCCAGAAAGAATTTGCTCGTATTTTAGGCAATTTAATGTACATCATGAACTATAATAGACCTGACATAGCTTTTGCTGTTAGCAAATTAAGCCGTTTTACGAGTAATATAAATGGAGATCAATGGAAAGTGTTAAAACGTGTATTGGGTTATCTAAAGCAAACTCAAAATTTTGGTTTGCATTACACCAAATATCCTGTAGTACTTGAAGGTTATAGTGATGCAAATTGGATAACTTGCTCCAAGGATACGAAATCTACCGGTGGATATTTATTTACACTAGGTGGAGGGGCAGTATCTTGGAAGTCATCTAAGAAAACTTGTATCGCTCGATCTACCATGGAGTCTGAATTTATTGCTTTAAATAAAGCCGGTGAAGAAGCTGAGTGGCTTCAAAATTTTCTAGAAGATATTCCTAATTGGCCAAAACCTACGCCTAATATTTGCATACATTGTGATAGTCAAGAAGCTATAGGAAGGGCAAGGAATGTCATGTATAATGGAAAGTCTAGACATATGTGTCGTAGACATGATACTATTAGACAACTACTCTCTAGTGGAATTATTATGATGGACTTTGTAAGGTCAAAATTGCGAATCCGTTAACAAAAGGCTTAACTAGAGAACTAGTGGATAAGTCATCAAAGGGAATGGGGTTAAGACCTATCAATTAAGTTATTGTAGCGACTACCCAACCTAATTGAATGGAGATTCCAAGATCTACGTTCAAAGGGACAACCAAGTTAAATTATGATAACTGTAAAAGCACAATAGAGTACAAAACTCTAAATCATTCCTATATGTGACTTTGGTGCTTATACGAGAAAGGTTAAGTTTAAGCTTAATAATAAGTATAGATTTTTAATAATTTCTATTGGAAGGTATAGAAGTCGCCTATGTGAGTGTGAGGATGGGCCGCCTCTATGAGAATTTTGAGGTCGAATTCTCTAAAATACTTGTAGAATCAAGAGTGTCCATGGCCAAAGCGGACACGAACATTAGAACAAACTATTTTAGAGAAATATTTGTGTGATTTCTTTTGTCTTAGCTTACATTTCAAAGTTGGCTGTTCAAAGTTGAAGAATACTACTGATGGACTGAGTAAGCTCGATGGACTTCAGTAGGGGTACGGTGGTTCAAAGTCTTTGACTACTAATCCCAAGACATTTATTTTTCATTGAGTAACTGCAATTTGCATAATATACCATGATGTTGCATAACAAGTCTTTCTCATTAATGTGGGGGATGATTGTTAGATTTCAATTGTTTGTGAATGAGAAATTCTCCATTAATGTGGGGGATTGTTGGATATTTATTTTGTAAACATTTTTGTATTAGTGAAGAATTATGTAGAGTAGTGTTGTATGACAATTGTATAACTATTTGGATTGTATATTTGGATAATGATTACTTTTCATTGGTAATTTTTAATGTGAATAGTTGTGTTAGTTATTTCATTAACTCATCATTAGTTATAATAAACACTTGTGCCATTTCATTACTTGCACCTTTTCATCTTTGTTTCTTTTTCTATAAATAGTTGTTAGTTGTTCTGATTTATGGATACTGAATATTAGTTTGAACTACTCTCTCTAAATATACATGCATATAGTTGCGGTTACTTTAATCTAGTTTGTTCCCTACCATTTTATAAGATACGAAACTCATTCTATCCTGGGAGAAAATTGCTTAATAACCTTGGGTATCATAGAGGGAGCAAAATTGTCTTAAGGACACAACATAATTTGTTGGGCTCGGGTTATAATTATATACTTTTTGAATTAGTTATAATTATAAAGGTATGTGTTATGTTTTATTTATTTTATATAAATTTTGATTTTGAATTTTAGTTTTCGTATAACTAAGATAGCACAATGTACTACTTGTAAACTCGAATTTCGACCCACAATCCTATCCGCAAAGGCTAATCAACATTCAGAGGCCAATAAGTTATTACAAAGACGAAAATGGCGAAAGGGTAAGTGTAAGAATTACCAAATGTGAAGCAGAGAGCAATAATAACACCGCTTCTTCCGTGAAAGATTGGTACACGGATGGGGTGTGTAAGTTAAATGGTTTTATTGACGCTGCATTCCGTTCGTCGCTTAGTAATGAAGCATACCTCGACTATGCACCCGGGACAGCAAATGACAGAGTAATTAACGGACCTCTGTTTATACCCTACGGGTTCCCGTCACTAAAGGGTACCGCCTTTGCTGAGTATGGAATAGACTGTGCTTTTGGGTCTTAAAATAAGAATGAGTCCTTCATTTTCTCAGGAAATTTATGTAGTTGGAGAAACACCATCTTCGAAAGTGGATTTGATGCGGCATTTGCTTCACACCGAAATAATGAGGCCTACCTCTTTAAAGGAGACTCATATGCACTCATAAACTTTGCTCCTGGCTCTGCAGATGACTATCTTATTGGCGGGGTTAAGAAAATCCTTCCTAACTGGCCTTCTCTACAGTCCATATTGCCTCGAAACAACCGTGGTATTGACCGATGAATCAACTTCTATTGCTCAGCCGAAGCAACTGTGAAAAACTGAAAATCAGTGCAATAATCCAACTCCAAGCTAAGTTGCTTTGTACTATGTTTAGATTTTGCCTACAAGTTTTTACTTCTCAGAGAAGGTTTTTCTTGTTTCAGAATAAGGTTATTCAAATTATTATATGCACTTTTATTTTTATTATTAAGAATAAGATTTTTCAGAAAATTAATGCAATGTTACTCAGCTTGTTGTACGAATAAATTCTAATATTAACTAATGTACTTCTTGGTGTTTTGAGTTGGCTAGCGCGTAGGTCTCATAGCTTGTTGAGTGATCCTGAGGTCGAGAGTTCGAGCCTCTCTCACCCCATTTGTTTAAAAATCATAATCTTTAATAAATAACTAACACAAAATCAACAAATTTTAGTCAACATCTCTTTAACGACAAAAATAACATTCAATTAGCACTCTGCACCTAGCAAATTAACCGTCGATCCATATATTGCAACTTTGCAAGATAGATGCCTCACAAATAAATACAAAGTATTTTATTAATCTATATTTACCTATCAAATGATTCTGTTTTAGCCTTTTTGTATAGTTGTAATTTGAACTCGGTTTTCGTAATTTTACTGAATGGGAGTTTATGTGATCCGGCTGATCCCCTGTCTCTAAAGACGGTACTGATCAGCTCAAGGCACATCATGGCCTCACATGGCACCATACGACACGAGCATGGGGTTGGCATGACAAGGCACACTATTGTGCATGTCAGCACATCACGACATGACGAAGGATGTTAAACAAAAAAAAAATTACAATCATCTTATGTGTGCAAGTACGACACGACACGATAGATCATGATCTTAAGTTGAGCATGAGCCTCACTTTAGTGAATAGGCTCGTCCGTGGGTCGGGCTTGCCAGATCCAAGGCACGTTAGTAATTTTAACTTCAAACCTCAACTATAAGTGTTTCTACAACTCTATGTTATTTAGTAAAATTGTCATAACATCATAACTAATCATTCACAATTAATAAAAAATCTATGCAAAGAGTAATTGAATTTTCGAACAAATTAAATGTAGGTCAACAAAGAAAATAGTCGTGTTAGAATTTAGGGCTGAGGTGTCAGAATCAAGATTGATCAAGTATATATATTTTGGATGACAAAGGAAGATGGGGCTAAATAAAATACAATCAATATGAAAGTGACTATTTAATAGATAAACCTTGATATAAAAAGTTAGGTCACATATTAAATCAAAGTATGCAGTCTAGTAAGACAAACAAACAATCAAACATGAAATTTATTGCCAATTGGTTAACATACTTTGTCAGTGAATTATATTCGTGTATAATTGTATGAATATAGTCCCCACCTTGTTATGAAATTATGTTTGGTCACATATATCAACATTTGACATACATGCAACGAAAACTATTGTATAACATGCTTCGCTTTAAAGAGTGAAACCTATGAATGATACGTAGTAATAATACATGTAGTTAATTCATCAAGTCTGTAGTTATAATTTGGAAAATCTGCAAAAAATAATTAGAATTATTGGCGATATATGCATAATATATTCATACAGTATATATTGTGTCCACGATATCACCTATATAGCTCAAGTTGGAGAAAATTATGTCCTAAAAATGACTCCTAATTAATTAAAGGAAAATGTAGATGCAGTCCTTGAACATCAATACTCCGGCAAGAAAGAGTGTTCAGATAATAAAGATTTACAACTGTGATTTTCGAAATGATGTAATCACAGTAGAAATGAAAAAAAAAAAAATAAAAAAAAAATAAAATAAAATTGTTTAGATCATGTTGGTTCTCTAATTTCTGACCATGTCAAAAAACTTGGTTTGAATCAGCCTGTGCTCAACATATCAATTACACATTCCAATTTTTTTACAAGCGGGGATTTCAATTTGATCCGCAACTTCATCCATCCCTAGAAACTTAAAGCAGTAAGCCTTGCTCGCCTCAGTCTCTCAAAGTGAAAGGGCGAGTCTACCCAAAGGAGCGAGATGCTCTATTTACAAGTAGTAAACAACTCAAATGGAGAAGAAAATCTCCATTGTACGAGCTAAAAATTGTCCATATTTAAAAGAAATTTGCAACAATATGTGCTATTGTGCCATCTATCTTTAGACTGATTCTCGTACAATAGCTTGCAGGGTACTTCTGGCATTTTGAGGGCCTTTTAGAGGTAATTTAAACTTACAGGGTGGCCAATGGATGCGGTCAGGAGGGCACGGAAGAGGAACCGGATGAGCAATGAAGGTTGGAATATTATCTCCAGGCATCAATACCGGATGCTCTTGAGAGTAAACTGTCATCTGAAGATGAAAACATAGACACATTAAAATGACAATTTAGACATTGCACTGTTAAAAATGTCTACTCTATTTCTGTCTGTCATACAAGCAAACGACTGATGGCAACATAGGAACCACAAAAACCACCAAAAATTAAATAAGATAAGATCAACAAACAGCTTATTAGAGCAGCCGGTATCATTCTTTATAAGAGGATAAAAAATATACACGTATATGTAAAAGTTTGTGATCTAACCTAACAATATATACCAAGCTAAGCTTGGCGTTGTGGAAAGGAGAGCACCTTCTAACCTCAAGGTTGGGGCTTCAATCCCCACTAGGAGGACTTTGGAGGAGGATCCCCTTACCCTATCCCGCACTACCAAAGTGGAGGAGGGATCCCCTTACCCTATCCCGCACTCCCAAAGTGCCTAGCCAGCGGGCCCAGGTTGACCCGTGAAGGGTTCTAGCTCGGTAGAGCCCTTTTTATACTTTTTAAAAAATATAACAATGTATACGAGCACCAACTCCCAACTGGTTGCTTTACCCTAAATTCCGTACATAGTATAAAAGCTCAGGGGTTTTACAAAAATTTTATACTTGTCCGTGTATGAATGTATCGATTGTATTTCAATATTTATACATTATGATAACCCAAGTCAGTAAAAGCAAAGTCATCTAATCTTACGAATTGTGACATCCTAATTCCCAAGGAGTTAACTGAAAATTGCAACTTGCAATAGACTTGAAGAACATAATCTTTTATGACCATGTTTTAAGTGCAAGCGTCATTACTTATAGGAAGTATAGGACCCTAATAGATGAAATAGGCACACACAAAAATGCACAATGCTTAACAAACTTTGTAATTACATGTTTCTCATGCTAATGGGAAGTATTGGAGTTGTTAAACACGCAACGCAATCAATGTCTCTATAAAGAGTTGAATGTGGATTTGAAACAAATGAAGCAAGGGAAATCAGAGTCAGGATAGAAAAATAATGAAGTAGAAGCCAATTGATCCTTCCAAGACACATCTATTAGAATTACATGCAAATTACAACCACCACCCCCCCCCCCCCCGAAAGTTGCTAAACCATTGTTACTTGCTTAAGAGAACGTCTACTTAACATCATATTGAAAATTACTCAATACAAAACCGTCGAATGTCAAAAACCCTTGGAGGTAAAGATGGAGGAATGCTAAAAATATCTCTGCTAATCCATGCTGAATTTTAAAACATTAGAATGCCCGACCTACTACGACTATTTATCTTCATTACATAACACTAAAAGGCAGTGCTTGTTAGCTTTCTGAACAAGATTGAAGATGACAAAACATTGAAATCTTGATGACAAATTTATTAGCTAGACAGCGAGTGAGACAGCATAGACAAGAATGAAAACAATGATTTGCTCTTCTGAATGGGCTAAGATAAACAATAAATTAATAGCTTAAAAGAAGACAACAAAGCTTGTCCATGAAGAAAGGGAATTAGCTGTAAAAACTATGAAGACATTAGTCATGTACTCATGTGGGACATTATATTATATGCATCTGGGTATTCACGGGCCATCAAAAATCTGCAATATTAGGAGATTTCTGTCTTGACTGGTAAGCATTAGCATCATGGCCCTCGGGCTGCTTGCAACACAAACATCTAGCAGACAAGAGGTTGGTTGAGCCATTGTTTTTTAATCAGGCACTCAAAAAAATGCAAAAGACAAACTCAATTCTGCACATGTGGGGATTTTGACAATATTACATTGCAACATTTGCAAGGGACTAAGATCCACAAATGCAAGTTCCATGCAACATTGCAACTATTGCTTTCGTGTGTATCGGCAGACTCAAGACCAATAGAAGCTACATACAAGTGCGTAACAGTAATTGGATTTTTTTATTCGTCACCCCCAAAAGTCCCAAATACACCCTGATTTTCCCGGTGTTTCCAAAACACTCTAAAAAGCCCACTTAAAATGACCACAATGCCCCCATGCATCTATTGTCTCTTAACCAATTGACGCATATGGGTTGCATACTTGGATAAGAGGTTTATAGAGTCTTGCCATAATCAATGTACTCCAATACACACAACTAGCTTCGAGAATTTAACCTCAAATAAAACAAAAATTTGTTTCAAAGGGCTTGCAGGTGTTTCAAAGGGCTTGCAGCTTTGTAGTAGCTAGAGGTTTACTTTAGACTATAGGCCAAAATAAAATTATTGAAGAGTGTCCAATTTAGTATGTGATGGGGATGGACCATGTAAAGTTACGTCCACAGAAAATTGAATTATCGTTTTCTTCTTTCCATCTGTTTCTTTCCCATATCTTTAGAAAATAATCATTACCCTAAATGAAATTAGTACCACCATTTCATCCACATGACTGTGCAGATGAAAAGGGTTTTTGCATGATTATAAAAATGGAAAATCTCAGGAAAGAGTTCAAATCAGAAGGACCAAAATCACATGGGAAGCTAAGACATCCTAAGAATGCCATTATTATATAGTACCAATAAGTTCAATTCACAGCTACCATAAATTTCAGTAGGTTTAGTTCACAACTACAATAAAGTTTCAACAAGTGCAAATAAGTTCAGATAAATCAAAATTAATCGAAAATAGTATCGAACACGGCCTAAATTACTAAAACAGGATAAATCTTATTCCGTACTAGCAAATTCAGATATACTGGAGACAAAATATCTAAGTTTCCTCAAATGTGACAGATCCATGTAATGCTATGAATTGAATTCTTCTCAATAAATTACCTAATTTAAAGAGCTTTCGGGAGCATAAAAAGATTAAAGCGAAGTACGGAGTATATAATAATACTACCGAGTGATAAAAAATGGTCACTTTCACATTAATCCAGGAAGGCTGTTACCCTGCTGATAAAGTTAGCAGAATTACTCAAACAGTAGAAACCAATTACATGATAACCAAAAAGAAAATGCAAAAAAATTCCACAATTTAAGGGCAACTCACCAAATTAAAGAAAGAAACTTTTACACCAAACAAAAGCAAAAATTTTCCAGAATCACATTCCTCAGATTTTACATAAAGGGTACACAATTTGAGTAAAAAAAAACACTTCTCATTCCTCAGATTTTCTGCAGTAATTTCATCAAACAGTTAACAGGCATAGTAAAAAAAGGTGAAAAACAAACCTTGGGAGAAGAGTAACCAAGCTTTGAATGAAAACCCAGTTGGGATTCAATGTCACGGCGGCTAGGCAGCGGAGGTTCCGGCGGATTTGGGCGGAGAAACCTCTCAAAAATGGCCATAACAAGAAACATTGAAATAAGAACAGCAGTAGCAACAAAACCAAATGAAACTGCATTTACAGAACTGTCAAAATGACTCCAATGTACGTCTGATCTCTCCAAATTCATTGTTGGAGACCCACTTGGTTGCCATCCCCAATTTTCACCTTCACCCATTTTCAAATTTTTTAACTTTTTTTTATATATTTATAATATTAATCCACCAAAAATGAAGATTAAATTTTGCAGCTTTCTTATTTTTTTTCAAGCTTCTTTCTTGCAGGAAATAAAAATTTAAAGAGAAAGAGGAAAATAATTTTAGTTTTGTAGTGGGATTTTGAGAAGAGAGGCTTTGGAATTTGGATAATAGTGTAATGTTGAAAGATTCAGATGTTTTTGTTTTGTTTTATGTAGTGTAGTGAGGAGTGTGGACTGAGTAGTGAAGAGGTGAGGAGAGAGAAAAGTGTGTGTAAACTAAAGTTGGGATGTCTGGGAATGAGAACAAAGATGTGAAATTTTAATATGGTCTTCATTTGGTCTTTAAACAACTACAGTACTAAAGACTGTCTCCAATTGTGAAACTCAATTTTGAATATTAAAATATAAAATGAGTTGTTTTTCATATCCAATACTCAACCCACTTCTCAATTTTACAACTTATGTAATATGAATTATATAATTTCTCAATGGTGAGACTTTTTTATATATACTAATGTCATTTTCCAATATGGCCCACTACATCCAATTAAATAAACAATTTTAAGTTGTTACAAAAACATTAAAAGTTTAATCAATATGAAATTGATAAGTGAAACGCTAAACATCGCCCGCAATTTACCATATAAAGCCCACAAATATGATTTGGTGTGACCATTATGCCCATTTTCTAAAATTGAAATAATCTCGGTTTAAAAAATGTGGAGCCGTACTGGCTCGCCGGGGGAGACCGGAGGGCAGGCCGGAGATGCGGGGGACGCCGGAGGTACGTCGTCGTCGACGGAAAACGAGGTAAGTCACCGTTAAAATTCACGGTTTACCGTCGGAGTGGCTCCGGCGCCTAGGATGGACGCCCAAACCGTAGCCTGGAGGTCCAAGCCAGACGCCAGAACACCAGAGTGGCGTCCAGCCCAGACGCCCAGATAAGAACCACCAAGTGAATTTTGTGGGCTTTATGTAGTAATTTGTGGGCGATGTTTAACAAATCCCATTGATAAGGGCCCACTTTTTTTTGTCAATTGAGACTCAAAGTTGAGTAGCTAAAGTTAGCAACTTTATTTTGGAGAGTAAATACAAAACCAAGGTACTAATGTTTGATAAAAGTTGCAATTAAGGTACTCAAGTTTCAAAAGTAGTAGTTAGAGTACTCAAACCCAAAAATAACCTACTACAACAAATTACCATTTGTAAAAAATAAAAAAATAAAAAAATAAAAAAAAAATTGCTGACATAATGACAGAGGGTACTAATGTTTGGTGAATTTCAATGCTTTTGGCTGTTACAAAGTAGCCGTTGGACTTCAAAAAATTAGTTGCTTCCATTTATATTCTTCCCCAATACCATCTTCAACATTCAGACCCTGCATCAAATTGGAAAAAAAAATAATAATAAAATAAAAATTCACACGCAGCATTTCAAAAATGTCAAGGAAAATTGATTAAAATGTTTTTTGAAATTTAAACATGTCAAGGCTGAGCAACTCAGGAAGTAGATGTCACTGTGGTTTGTTGTTGTCTAAGAGCGGGGCTTGGACAAAAGATAACCCTGGTAGAAGGTTCCTTGCTTGCCTTGACTATGATGCAGAGACTGAAAGGAGGGGCTGCAAATATTTTAAGTGGGTGGACATGGAAGACCCCAATGCTTGGTAGACTAATGTTATACTGGGGCTTATGCAAGAGAAGCCAGGAACTGAAGAATGAAATTATGTCTATGCGGAAGGAATTGAAGCAAATAAGCCAGTATGCTAGGAAGATTGTAAGTGGATTATTTGATGTTGAAAATAAAAAGGGCTACTAGGATGAATTTGGGGATTAATTGTAACTTGTGGAAGGTTGTTATGGTGCTTGTTGTGGTAGGAATTTGGTATGCATTGAAGAAATGAACAAGTTATGCCTTAAATATGTATTAGTTTGTACCTAATGCATTTATTTCTTGTTGTTTCTCTTCTTTTTAGCTAAATCCTGTTATAACAAAGGCATTCAGTGTATGAATTTATCCATTAATGAAAAAATCAATTTTTTTTTATGTGATGGAAGTCTTATTTATACCTGCAATGCTTGACTTGAAATGGTGTTGGTGTTTTGGCTTTGTTGTTGGCCTGACATAGGGTATTGATCCTGGCTGATTGAAGGAGTACATTGTTTGCTCTCCTTCAATGTCAGTGTAGAAGGCCCTTTGTGGTTGTTGTTGAGAGGGTCTTTGATGGGACCTCCCGTTAAAAAAAAAAAAGAAGGGAATATGTGGCAAATGAGCCTCATAACTTAAGACTTATGTGCAAATCAGTCCCTTTAGAATTAATTGAAGCAAATCATCCTTGCACCTTTTGTAAACGTGTAATTAACACATAAATGATATATTCCGGCCATATATAATCTGAAAATTATAATTTCGCCGGAATACCATTATAATTTTACCACTATACTATCCTTATACTATCCATATATAACCCTTGTACATTTGAAGTACGTTATTTATAACCCATATACAATAACTCTATAATAAAATTAAAAAATACATCGAGGAAAAAAAAAGAAAAAAAAAAGTGAACTACATGAACAACAGCAGCACGTTCAAGCACAACGCTCTCCAAAACATCTCAACTCTCTTCCATGGCTTCCTCTATAGGTAACTTGATTTCTCTTTCATGATGTAAACCATGATTAAAACCTAATTTTAAATTGTACCTGTAGAAACACATCAAGATATTATGTAATTGGGAAAACCTAATAAAAATTTTGTAAAAAACAATAAAATTCAGATTATTCAAAATTGCATTTGAATACTGCTTTAATAGAAGATAATCCCTACAACAACAAAGTTGAATCCAATTGTTACAATTGTATGTTTTTATGAAGAATTGTATGTTATTATGAAGTCCCTTACTTATTATTTTTTTTGGTGCAGTACATCCAAATATAATTAATCTCAAATGCTTTCATGGGGGGAAATTAGTTTACGAGAGAGAAGATGTGATTTATGTGGGTGGTTCTTGTATTGAAGGAGAAATTGACATATGTAAATTTGATTTTAGAATGGCAAAAAAACTGATTGAGTGGTTAGGTTACTCTTATAATTATGTTGACATCTTGTATCTTGTGAAAAAAAGAGGCCTTCAAATTTTATGTGATGGCGAAACAATGGAGGAACTTCGTGTTGAAGGGGTTACACATGGGGCCATGGTGTTCTACTTCCATCATTCTATTGAAGAAGGTGATAATGGAGAACTTTTGTATCCATCGGAAATAAAAGTTGATTATTCAGGGGAACTTAATAGAAAAACTACAGAAGTTCCTGTAGAAATTATAGACTATGATCAAAATGATGAGGAGTTATACGGGAGTGAACCTGAAAATGTAATCGAAGATGTTGAAGCTGGAAGTAGCGATGAAGAGTTTATTGATGTGCAAATAAAGAAAAAAGAATGGGTCACTAAAAGAAACAATTCTGGAAAAAAAAACATGGAGGAAAAGAAATTGGAGAAGGTCAGTATAGATCACAATGGGGATATAGAGAAAAGTGGACAAGCAAACAAGCCTGCAAAAGCAAAAGATAATTATTGGGGTGTAGATGAATATGTAGACCAAGATGAGCATGACATGGATGGAAGTGAAATAGATTCTGAGGATGAAAGTCCACTTAGTCGTAGCGATGACGAGGAGGATCCTGAAGTTTTACAGAAATGTGATTGGCCTCTATATGATCCTAATACTCCATTAAGGTCTGTTCAAATAGAGTTAGGGCAATTATTCCAAAATGTAGACGTATTAAAAAAAAGCACTCATCCAATATAGTTGCCAAACCCACAGGGCATGGAACTATTGCCATAATGAACCGCAAAGACTACTTGTGAAATGCAAGTTTTATGAGAGTGGGTGTTGTTGGAAGCTCAGTGCGAGGTATACAAAAGAGTTTGGATGTTTACAAATCCGATTTTTAAAAAATGTTCACAATTGCACACCCACTATGAGGAATAAAAGGGTACATGCAAACTTTCTTGCCGAGGAATACCAAGAAAAGCTTCTAAAACATCCTACTTGGAAGCTAAAATTGTTTGTTCAAGATGTAGAAGACACCTATGGTGTGAAGATTAATAAGTGGCAAGCTGCAAGAGCCAAAAAATATGTCTTATCTGCATGTGCAAAGGTTGTTGAAAAACAATATGAATTTCTCAGAAGTTACATGCATGAGTTGAAGGCTTCTAATGTAGGTCCTAGTTTGTTCTTATCTTTAAAACCACATATTTCACGTTTAGAACCTCAATTTCATATGTTCTACATCAATTTTGCTGCTTTGAGACAAGAATTCCTCCATGGGTGTAGAAGGTTTCTCGGCCTTGATGGAGCATTCTTTAAAGGATATTGTAAGGGTGAGCTACTTAGTGTTACAGCAAGGGATGCAAATAATCAAATGTTTATGGTCGCTTGGGTAATTATAGAGACTGAATCCAAAGAAAGTTGGTCTTGGTTTCTTAAACATCTTATAGAAGATCTCAAAATGCAAGATGGCAAGGGATGGACTTTGTTATCAGATCAACAAAAGGTATATTTAAATATAAGTTTAACCTCTTCATTAGTTAAGATAAATATTATTTAAAATATATTGTCTTTTTCCTTGGCAAAATGTTTATTTTTTAGAGCTTCCATAGTTCATGGTTAAGTTCATTTTTGTACATCTAATATATTGTCTATCACAGGGATTATTGTCTGTCATACCACGACTTCTCCCCGAAGTTGAGCACAGGTTATGTGCTAGGCACATATTCACAAATTGGACCAAGATTATCAAAGGGGCACCTTTACGCAAATTATACTAGAGGGCTGTGAAATTATAAACTCAAATTGACTTTGAAAATGCTATGAAGGAACTGCAAAAGCAAAGGTCAAAAGCTTATGAGGAGATGTGTGCAAGAAATATGAAGAATTTTTGCAGATGCTTTTTTAAGACTTGGGCATGTACTGATGTTACTTGTAACAATATGGCGGAAACATTTAACTCATGGATCCTTGAAGCTAGGGAAAAACCAATATTAACAATGCTAGAAGAAATAAGAAGATAAGTTATGTCTAGAATGGTGGATAAGAAAGCGCAAGCAGCTAAATGTGTTAGCATTGTTGCCCCTAGAGTTCGACTAAAGTTAAATGATTTTAGACAAGCTATCAGAAATTGGAGGCCTATCGAGGCCAAAAAAGATGCATACGAGGTGCAACATACTCATAACAGCAACATATCATATGCAGTTCGATTAGATAAGAAGAATTGTGCATGTAGATATTGGGATTTGTATGGGATCCCATGTGAGCATGCAACAACTGCATTATGTGCTAAGAATGAAACCCCTGAGAATTATGTATCTTGTTGGTACAATAAGGACACATACGAAGCTGCATATTCATTTTCTTTAGAGCCCATTAATGGACAAGCACTATGGGAGAAAATTGATGAAGGTCCAATCTCACCAAGTGACCCCCGAGTGAAACATGGGAGACCCGCAAATAAGAGAAATAAGGCATATGGAGAAGGTAAACGGAAAACACATTTGTGTAGGGTTGTTAAAAGTGGTAAACAATTGTGCTCTAGTTGCAAAGAACCTGGCCATAAAATTACAACATGCCCATAAAGAGTTAACGGTGCTACACAAAAGTGACATATATGCTGATGCCACTTCTTAGTTAGCATTGGTATGCTTCTATATGAGACAGAATTTTGGTCTTGGTTACTCTATTGTGTTAAATTGTATTTTTTTTTATTTAATTTTTTTGGAATAAAGTGTTTTTAGTGTAATTGATTTAATATTTATTGGTTATAGACTAAACTAATTAAATTTAGTGACTATTCTAGAAACTAACTTGCAACAAGATGCAAAATAAAGTGGGAAATTTCCCATATATACCCAAAAAAAAAGTTACTAATAATTATCATCCATATTCCAATCTAATGCTCAATCAGCTTTCATACGTGAAATTGTGCAACTATTTCAGTCTGTAAATCAATTAACAAATAAACTTACAACATTCATAATAAGATAAAATATGAACTTGATTAACAAGTAATTGACAAATGAGTATTACCTTTGAACATTTAGTTTGATGAAAAAGAACCAATAACTTTGCAATTGTAGTCCCTAGCTGTGCTATGTTGGTTGGAGCCCCGGTCGACGATGGCTTTGGCGATGGGAAAGTACTGGAAGTTCTAAATAAATTCTTTGAAAGCTAAGGTAGAAGGTGATAGTGAATATTGAGTACTAATAGGATTCGTAAACAACCCAATTCTTCCTCTCATTATATTAGCTACTTTAATTTGTACTTAAATTGGAAGATAATTTGCCATTGAGATGAGAGAGAAAAAAATGGGAAATGGTGGGTAGAGGGAGAAATTTGAGTCTTAGAATTGACGAAGATGAAGACCAAAAGTAAGTAAGATGAGAATAATGGGCACTACAAGAAATAGGCCTATTTCCGACGGAAAATAAATCCGTCGGAATTTCCTACGGAATTAAAATCCGTTGGAATTTATGGGCTTTCCCACGGAATATTCCATCGGAATATTAATTTTCCGACGGAATTAAAATCCGTCGGAAGGTTCCGACGGAGTATTCCGTCGGAAACACAAAGTTTCCGGCGGAATTAAATCTGTCGGAAAATTCCGTCGGAAAATAGTAGTTCCGACATAATATTCCGTCGGAATTCAGGTTACCCAAAAAAAAATAAAAAATAAAAAACCTACATTTAAAACCCGGTTTTTCTCACTCCTCCATTTCTATTTCACCGTTTTTCTCCTTCTCTTCCTTCCTATTTTCTCACTCCTCCATTCCTTCCTATCTTCTCCGTCCTCTCCTCTCATCTCCTCCCTCCTCACTCCTCTCCTCACCCTTCTCCCTCCTCTCATCTCCTCGCCCTTCTCCCTCCTCTCCTCCCACCACCAGCACGTACACGACCACCACCACGGTACACCACCACTAGCACTATCGTGCTCACCGTACACCACCACCACTCGCATTCAAACCACCACCAGCACCGTGCTCACCCAACAGCTCCACCAGCACCGGCTCACCGTACACCACCACCACTCATTCAAAAATAATGGTTTTTTTGTTCAAACTCGACCTTGAAAATTCCAGATCTGGAATTTTCATGGTCGAGTTTGACCATTTAAACCCAATAAAGAAGAAAGTTCAAATTAAAAGGTATGTTTATTTTTATTTTGTACTGTGAGTTAATTTTGAATTCGTGGGTTTATTTGTGATTTGGTTTTTTTTTTGCTTTTATTTTCAATTTTTGATTTTTTTGGCCGATTATTTTGTATATTCAATTTTTGAGTTTGAGTATTGGATCTGTTTTTGCTTTTTTTTTATTTTTTTGGATTTTGATTCTGTATATTAAATTTTGTATTAGATCTATTTTTGTTTTTGTTTTTTTTTTATTTTGGGTTGCGGTGGTCTAGGTGGGTGTGGTGGCTGTCGGAATGTGGTATAGGTGGAGGTGGTTGGGTGGTGTAGGGCTAGGCATGGTGTGGGTGGGCTGCTGGTGGTAACGTAGGCGTGTGGGTGGGTATTCAGGGGGGCAGGGGGTGGTGTGGGTGGGTATTCAGGGGGGCGGGGGTGGTGTGGGTGGGTAGGGGGTAGTTAGGGGGGTAGGGGGGCAGGAACTGAGGTGGGCTGCTGGTGGCGCTGGGTGTGGGAATGGGTGGGGGTGGTCTGGGCAGGGTGGGGTGGGGGTCTGTTTTTTTTTTTTACTAACTTTTCGACGGAATTTTCCGTTGGAATAATCCTCATGCGACGGAAAATTCCATTGGAAATTTGCGACAGAATTTCTAATAAAGTCAAAAACAGCGCCGACAGAATTAGATCCGTCGGAAGACCGCCTTCCGACGGAATTTTCACCGGAAAAGGTCGAATTTCCGACAAGGGCTGTTACGACAGACCAACTCCGACGGAATTCCGTCGGAAAGCCTGATTCCGACTGAATTTCCTATGTTTCCGACGGAATTTTTCTGTCGGAATCCAGCTGTTTTCTTGTAGTGGGGATACAGATGTCATGAACTATATTAGCATAAAATATACGTGTACAGTATTTATTTGGGGGAAAAAATACGTAGTAGTTGTTTTCCGGTTTGTTTTATGTATTTAGATAAATTGCACGGTTTAAAAAGTAGTGGGGTTAATTTGTTGTTATTAGTATTTAGGGGGCTATTTTGCCTTAAGTTATGGGGCTCATTTGCCACAAACGCCAAAATAGAAGTTAGTAGTATGCAATAATTTTCAAAAATTAGCAAATGCAGATGAATAAGTAAGAGATACTTACCGACGCAACTCTTTGATAGCCATTAGAGTATGTGTAGACCCCAAATCCTCTCATATGCATGGGAACAGATGTATTAGTTGCATCTGCAGGAGTTGCTGGCACTTCTAGTGTGGGTGTGTGCTGGCTTTCTTCTCTTGGAGCATTCTTGCATCCCCTTTTGTTATGGTCCTTCAAGCCACATAAGCTGTAGGTCTGAGGATATCCTGATATCCTCAGCTTACCAGTAGCTGTGGTCTCCCCAGCTTGATATTTCCTCTTAGCCTTAGGTCTACCCTGCACCTTTTTCAATTTAGGTGGGATCACAAGGGAATCAGCTTGTGGCCATTCTTGAGGACCATTCAAAGGCTCTAGCATGAAGTCATATGCTTTCATGTACTTCTCCTTACTAAAATAGTCATTGACATAGTGTTTTAATTGGTCCACCTTATTTCAAATAGCAACCACATCATGCTTGCATGGAATGCCACTAACTTGCCAAGCATTGCAGCTGCAAGTCCTGTCCTGCAAGTTAACAACAAATTTCTCCTGTGTGGCATCCTGTCTCACCCCATAGCAAAAGGCCCCATCCCAGAAAGCATTCTAGCCCCTAGCCCAAATCTTGTTCTTTTCTAATCTATGTTGTATCCTTGGGCACAGCATGATTGTTTTCTTTTCAATCTCATCTCTTTTTATGTGTAGTCTCTCCATTAACCCCTCCCTGATATCCTCAAGCATTGTAATGATTGGCTTATGCCTGGAGGTCAGAATATAGGCATTAAAAACCTCACTCATGTTGTTATCAACACTATCACAATATGACATTGGAGTGTAGAAAGCCCTGCACCATTTCTTGTATTTTCTTTTCAGCAAATCTTCAGCAGTATCTGCAGAAATGGCTCTCATCACTTCAATGTTTTTGAAAAATTCATTCTTAGTGCTACTTTTTGCTGTTATCCAAAATTATTTTCTGAATTCTAGGCCCCCACCAAAAATCCCTTTGAAGTTGCAGTAAACATGCCTAACACACACCCTGGTTTCAGCTTTTGGGAACACACCAGACACTGCTGCTAGCAACCCCTTCTGCTGGTCAGATATGAATGTGTAACCAGCCCCTATAGTTGTCTCTAAATCATCACCAAGTAGAGACAGGAACCATGTCCAACTATCAGTGCTCTCTACTTCAACAACAGCCCATGCTAAGGATAACATTTGGTTGTTTCCATCCCTCCCTACAGCAGCAAGTAGTTTCCCCCCAAAAGGGCTTTTAAGGAAGTATCCATCTAGAGAGATAAAGGGCCTACAACCAGCCTTAAACCCTTTTTTCAATGCTTCAAAACACAAATACAATCTCTCAAAAACATTAGCACTCATTTGCAACTTAACTGTATTCCCTCTGTTACTCCTTAAAATTTCTACAGCATACCTAGGAAGCAAAGCATATTGCTCTTGGTACTCACCAACAATCAGGGCCTAACCCTTCTTCCTATCCCTGTAAGCCAAGAACTTGCTCACCCTAATTCCTTTTTCCAGCCATATTGACTCCCTGATATCATGTACTTTCATGTAGGGGTTTACTCTAAACCAATTTGCATAATTGGTAGCAATCCAAGTAAATGTCATTCCCTTAACTTTTACTGCCTTGCCACAAGTGTGCTCACCTATGTGAGATTTGACAACAAAATTTCTTTCGTCTTTCTCCCAAGAAGCCCATATTTTCCAAGGGCAACCTTTGTCATGCTGCCTACACTTATCACCCACCCTGTTAGGATCATTTCTATAATACTTTATATTCCTCTCAGACCCAATGCTGTAGTCAGTCAAGCTTTTCTGAACATCACGGCATTCTCACCTAAAAAGAAATCAGATTGAGTTCTCTCACATGCCCTCACTTCTCTTGCCTTTTTCCCTTTTTTAGGTGCAATGAGGTAACCATGATCCTCTTCATCTTAAGAATCACTAGGACTATCTTCATCACTCAACCCTTCCCAATCATCTCCAAACATGTTCATTTCTTTTCCTTTAGAATCTGCAATCCTTTGCAACATAACCAGCTTATCTTCAAACTCTAGTTCATCTTTCTTTTCCTGAGTTAGTTTGTCCCTAGAACTAACAAACTCCACATCATCTTCATTAGTCCCCTTACTGTCATAATCATATTAAACATCTTTATTAATCCTAGGTGTAGAGCATCCAGCACCAACACCAGTCAAAAGAGCCATGAAAGACCCTTGGCCAGCATTGCCTACATTGAAGTGTGTTGGCATGCCCAATTCATGTTTTGAGTAAAAATGTATCACTCTGAACTCCAACAACATGGACAGAAATGGGTCAAAGGTCC